GCTTCTAAAGCATTCGTGGGCAGACAGTTCCAGATGATGTCTGTTTCTGCCCTGGGCTCGTGCTGCTCGCAGGTTCACTCACTCTTCCTCTCTCCTTGCAGTGCCGTCTCCGTGCCATCACACAGCCCCAGCACTCCTCCCTGTGCTGCCACTGCACAGCCCCACCAGCGCTCTCCTTTCCTTCTGAGACATCACTGAGAGATCTGCCAGGCAGTGACTTCACTCCTGCACTTATCAAAACAAAGAGAAACAGTGCAGGACATGGGCACATCTGCTCTTTGTAAAAAAAAAAACAACACAACGAAACAACAACAACAAAAAAAACACATATAAAGCAATCATGCTGTAGGCAATAATAAACCACTTTAATTAACTAATGGAAAGAAACATCCTGCCAAGGACAGTTTTGATGATTTTCATATTACATCCCATAAGCACCGGGCAATATTTTAGACCAGGGTCAAAGACCTTTTGTCCGAGCATAAGGAGAAAAGGCAGCTCAGAAAACATCTGTGTGCTATGCATATTGACCTAGATGTATCCATAAAATCCTGAAATGTTTAGTAGTGGCTACCTGTCAGTACAAACAAACACAATTGCATTCACAGGGAAAATACACCCATTTTACACAACAAGAAAGCCTGTTGGTACATACACTTCACAGTTCGTTACAGACTTTCCTAATTAAATGAATATAACAAGTTGATTAGACTTTAGAAGCTCCGAGAAAAGTCAGATCCACTTATACTGAAAAGTAGGACTCAGAAATAAATTATTCACAGTTGATTAGACTAAGACAAGCATTTCTCAAACATTTCTCAATACTTCAGAAAAAGCGACATATTGAACTCTATTTTACTGTGAGGCTCAAAATGGCAATTAACAGTCCTAAGCTGCATATAAAACCCACTATGAACCACATTTACAAGAACATTGTGCGTGAATCAAATTACGTTATCTTTGGTTTGAAGAACTTAGAAATAATTGCCAATAAGTATTCATGTATAGGACCAATTTTTTGAAACAAGTTATTTTAATTACTACTAGTGTCAGGAGTACATGTAGGCGATTTTATTAGATTTAATGTGTTTAGTGAAGCTCCCTGAACTGTAGCTGGTTTATTTCTCGAGAAGATCATATATTTAATATATCTTTATTATTCTTACTTTCTAATATTGTATTTATTTGTAAATGAAATCTCAGTATCTTATGCTTACAGTAATTTCATAGAAAATACCAGTGTGAAGCACAGTAATGTATCATCACCAAAGAAATCAGAACACCATGTAGATCTGGGTTTCTATACACCACACTGATAATATAAATATCCTTCAAACTGCATGTCTTTACAGCCATCTGCAATTGTGCCCACATTTGGATTCAGTGATGTACAGGAGCCTTTCCATGAAAGATATAACTGGAAAAAAGGGAGAGAAAGAAGGAGAAGGTCCATAAGAGGGGAATGTCTTGGTCTTGAAAAGCAACTGAAATCATTGCTGATTTTAGACCATCCAGGTAGCAGCTTTATCACTTCTATTGTCCTCGCTCTCAAAAATGGAATTCCTTGAACCCACCACTTTCACTTTATTTAAAAAAATATCAAATGATATCGGTATTGACTTTGTCAATAAACGATCCGAAAAGGAATGCCATTGCCAGATATTCATGCCCACAAAAAGAGCAGTCTTAACAAATACCATGCAACCCTTCAAGTCATACTACTCATGGATATGATTTCCTTTTCTTGTCTTTCCTAATTGCTGAGAGCATACATCCAAACAATTTCAAACTGCAGTGATAGTCAAAAGGCATAGAGCAAATCGCACAGACCAATCCATGCAAAAATGTTGTGCTGTGCACCTGTAAGCTGGGCTAGGACACATCCTGCCTAGCATGCCAATATGCAGCACATGACCACAGGCACAGTACTGCTACCTCCTTCCCCAGAGGGAGCAGACATTGCTGGCCCTAACAGAGAACAGCTCAAGGAACAGGACAATAAAGATAAAGCAATGAAGCTCTTTGTGATAATCAATATTTTACATTCATCCAATTTCAAAGCTATGCCTATTTCTTAATATGCAATATCTTGAACACGTCAATCCCATGCGAAGGTTCTACAGACATCTGCACATATTCATACTTCAAGGACACAATACTTAAGCACTTTCCTGAAGTGGTATAAATAAATACAGACAGAAAGAATTGCTGGTATATACAACATCGAAGAGCCCGAAATAGACGTAGTGAACTGTGGTTATAAAAATAAATTTCTAAAAAGAAGAGAGAAGAGAAAAGGAGACGAATGTTCTAATCTTACCTTCATCATAATCTTATTAGCATTTCTCAGTGAGTAGTTCAAGTATCAGTCTATACTCTTATGAATCTGTCTCATAAATATGTCAAGTGCAAAGTATAGTTATTTTAATAGTCTGTGTTGGTGGGCCATCATGGATTTAATTAAGAGACAACTAGTGTATGAAATATGACACAAAAGCACCAGACTAAATGGAGAAATGTTTTACTGCAGACTTAAATCAGGTCCACAGAAGTAATGATGATCTGGCCTTAGAAATCCTACTTAAATTTAATTAATGCGGACCAGTACAGACCTGTTCATATAGGAACAAAAAACAGCAGCATTAAAAATAATGATTTAAGCTATACTGTGTTATTTATAAAGACATTTGCATTATCCCCAACTGCATTATGTTATTTATAAATGTGTGTTGGTCTGTGGCTCTTCAATTAATTTTAAGAGGCTGAAAAGGCAAGTCCAGAAAAAACTATTAAAATACTGTCAGCTGCTTTTTGTATTCTCTCAAAAATAAAACCTTCATTAAGGTCTTAAGTCTTATTTTGGAGGTTCTCTGGACACTCAAATCATGATGCTACAAAATTGTAGATACCCTTCTAAGTCTGCAATGAAAACTGTATTATTTTCCATCCAAATCTTCTCATCTCCTCTTTCTCCATCTTTCTTTTCCTGTCTTCTCAAAAAGCAGAAGCACAGTCAGCACTATAAGCAGGCAGGATGAGATCTTCCAGCACTGCACAATCCTTCCTGCTACCATTTTGGTGCAGTGTTTTGACCTCCTAGGAAATATGGCAAGATACAATGGTTTTCAGAACTAATGCAAGTGCAAATTCCCTACTACTTCTTTGAGTTTAATATGATTTTAGAAAGAATCCCCTAATTTCATTAAACTATTCCAGTAGCTCAATCCTAGCTTGCAAAATCATTGACAGACAACAACTTCGGTTGCACTAAAGTTGAAAGGAAGGCTTATTATTGATTTACATAGGCACAGAAGTAGATTCTAAACAGATGCAGTTAAGCATATACCTGTCTGGCAGTAAGAATTGATACCTTGGTCAACTATCAGGATTATGTTATGTACAGTTTCATATCTAAGAATTCTCATTTTCTTAATCTGATCCAGAAGGTACCAGTCATTGCATGTTAATTTTTTTGAGTGGCTACCAGTCATTTAGATCTAAATAACCTTTAATTGGTTGGTTGCTTGAGCAGGCCATTAAAGTATTCATAGATTTTATTAACCTTTTATTACTATAGGAGGAGAAAAAAGGCAGTGCCAGAAAGCATCATTAAGTGAACCTCATTCCTATTTTCAGAAAACTCTGAGCTGGGGACTCTAGCTGCTCTCCAAACACCATAATTTGGACTGCCAGGAATGTAATAAAAACTGTAAATTGACACAAAAATGAAAGTGCTTGGGAGAAATAAATTCATAACTACTTTTATTTTTTGGTGAAGAAAACATCAAAGGTTTGCAACTCAGCCTGGAAGGCAAAAATGGATAAAAGGAGAGTGCCTATAGTTTCAAAATATTTTTCTCTTTAATGAACAGTTGAAAATATCCATAAATCTCTTGCAGTATCACTGTATTTAAAAAGCAGTCAAGTCTTTTGTGCCTGACATGTTTATAGTAAATCTATTCTCATCTGTCGTGTTTGCATAAATTGTCCAAAAGTTCATCCTGTCTTGGCTGTCTTTCTGTATTCATTAGTCATTTTTTGAGTAAATGAAGGGAAAAAATGCCCAGAAACTCAGGTAATGCATAAGAAGGAACCAGACTTCTGATGACTAACAAGGCAAATACAACTTTATTCAGTTAAATTTACAGAAATTTGTTTCTTATTGCCAGGGATGAACTAAACAGTATGAATTATGTGTACAAGTGTGTAGTAAATAAATATAGGCAATCAGAAAGAAATTCCGAATAATATATGATAAGGTAATAATGTAGTCCCAAACAAGCACTTACAGTGAATACCCACCTAATCAGAGAGCTCCTGACAGAGGTCTGGTGTAGGCCATCATATGGATTTAGGATATCTTTGCACCTTACTCTAATAGTAAAATTTACAGTGCAGCAACACGATGTCAAAGTCAATCTTCATCTTCTTTCTCAGTAAGTGAGACATACATTACAAAAACAAAGAAGTACTGCCATCTTGTACAGCCTGAAACACAGGGCTGGTTGATGCCCCTGGGAAAAGACGAAGGAAGGGTGACTTGTTTTTTCCATGGGATGGAAGATTGAGGTGCCAGGGATGTAAGGGCCTGCCCCTCACCTCTTGCCCCCTCTCTGCCAGCCATCCTCCCATCTGGCAGTTTGCCCAGCTCCCATGGCCTGGCTTTTGCTTCCCAGCGGCAGTGGCTGGGGGTGACCCCATGGCCTAGAAGCAGCACAAAATATTCACTTGATGAGAAGAGATGAAGATCAAGGACATAATGTGGTCAGTTGCTCAAGTAATCAGGTATACAGGTAAGAAACAACCACACAACTGCACCACAGCCAAAGAAACAAGGCAAAAGAAACTTTCCAGTCTAGACTACCATGGAATCAAACCTGAAGATGTGCAGACAAATTTGCTGTGGCCTACTCAGCACACAACACGCTCATTAGATTTACGAGTAGTAGGGCACTGTATTTCTTTGCCCCAGGGAATGTTTTCTGTGATTGCCATTAAAAGTCTTGTTGACGGTGGATTTTTTTGCTGAAGTGCAAATATACAATGGTTTTGTAAGGAGTTTTATATAGAAGGTTACATTCACAGAAAGCTACCCACACCTCTGTATCAGAAACAATTTGCAGAATTGAATATTTAACAAACGAGTTTGAGATCTGCAGTGATTAAATTATTGAGGTAATTAGCACAATATTTAAGGTTAATGTTCACAGGTAGGTTAATTATATCCTTTCCCAAATTTCTGTTTTCATTTCACTTGATACACGTTTCAATAACAGTGAAAGTGAGACCACACTTACAGAGATGGTAGATGAAGCATCACATATCACCAAAGGTATCAAACAATAAACGCACACTTCTGAGAGAAGTTTCCTTCAGCACCAGGTCTTAGAGCTTTATATAAATCATGTACCAACAGTTCTCTTGTCTTCTGGAGTGAACTTGAATAATACTTCAGATCTGCACAAAAAAAACAACAAACATTTTCTACAGGACTTGCGGGATTTCTTAGCTTGCAGACTTCATACAGCTCTTGCATTAATTACAAAAGAGATAGTGTTTAATGCTTTATATTGAATTCAGTCCACATGCAAAACTCCTATTTGCAATATTGCAGACCATAAACAACGTACAGCGCTGAAATTCTCTCTGATTGGACTTCAGTGAGGTTACGTCACATCTACTCTAATGAAATTACAGTAAAAATTTGCTTTGATTATCAGCAGAATGCCTGTAAAGAATAAAGAAGGGATTCAAGTACTACAATGAAGTTTTAGAAAACTGCTCAATGCTTACTCATGCTGAGACAATAGGACTCTGCACCCGCATTTACTTACATAAAGCAAATATCTTCTGCTTTTCCCCAGACCAGCATCTCTTCACACAGGCTCCTCAGAAGAGTGATCGCTGCACAGCCAGGCCCGGTCTGTTCATCTTCTTGTTTCCCTTTAACATGCTGTAATAAAGCTGTTATTGAAAAAGGGAAACAGACTCATTGCTCTCCGGGGGAAGAAGGAAGCCATGACTGTAAGAGACAGAAGAATAAAATGTTTTGTGTAGAATTTACCATTTTGCTGAGCAGAAGGATGAATCCGGAAGTCTACAAAGGATGTGCTTTTTTCCACTGTTATGACTATAAAAATCAATCTTCTGTATAGAGGAGCAAATCTTTTAACTGTAGCTAGGAAGAACATCTCATTTTCACATTTCATGATGTAAGAAATTCATAGCAGCCTAAATTGCAAATTTGATTTTTTTTAATGCAAAATTGTATTCATCGCTTATTTTATTATTTAATTCATATCTTATTTTTTATTTTATTGCAGTATGGTGCTGTTATTTTCTAAATAATTTGATTATTTTGCCACAGCATTGCAAAATGTGAACATGTTGATGCCTGCTGGACCCTGCTGATAAGCAGGCTTGCAAGAAAGGAGCCGGTGAAAATCAGTCTCTGTCCTTTTGAAAAATTAGTTGTAGTAGTTTCACACTTTTACTTTCCCAAATAGACACTGCAACAATTTTTCTTCCTTTCTTATTTATTGTTCACACCACTGCAACAAAAACATATGCTTCTCTATCCCACATACACATAGCTACAGATAGAGCCCTCTTCTGTATCACGTCAGCGGCAAGCACAAAGGTAGGGATGCTCTGGGCTGCACTGTATTTGCACAGTTGGCTGCAGTGAGTATACATGCAAGCAGAGAAACTGATTTATGAAAAGCAGTTTTAGATACCCAACCAGCAATTGTGTGCACAATTACTGTGATTACACATGTAATCATGGTCACTGTGCTTCCAAATGATGCATATGTTATTCTAAACATTCGCTCCTGTGTTACTAAAATTAATGGGAGCTCTTCTGTCAGTTTGTATTGATGGAGGATCAAGCACTGCATATTGTTAACAGTAGGCTTGATATATCCAAAACCACTTGCAATTTTTGCATCCAAAATGCTCACTTTTCATTGCTCCTCCAATTAATAAAAGAGAGAAGGACAAAGTTTTTTAGAATGTGTAAGTATATATTTATTATGCATTCACAAACAAATTATCATTTTTGAATAGGGTACTGGGTTTGACTCAAACTCCATTGATATTAAAAGAAACAGGAGTCTGTATCAAGTTCCTCCTTTAATGTTTCTGCTTAGTTTAGGTCACAGAGCTGTGTGTACATCTGTTGATGGCAAAATCTTTCACTTTTGACTGTCTTGGCTTTCAAGAGTTAACTGGCATTTTGTAGAGAAGATGCTGTGAGATACAGTAGGCATGGTGATAGGTAGTATTTCACATCTAGTCTTTGTCCATGTTCTAACAATGTGCATCAAATGTCTTACTATTGTCTCTTTTTCAGATTAGTTTACAGCCCTGTAGTTCCAGCTGTTTTATTCTGAAACTCTAAAACCCTATCACTAGGGAGTTCTGTGTAATTGACCATAATATGCACCACATTATCCATTTCAGGAACTGTGCTGAAAGACAGCAGCAATAAGGGGTTTTCTAAAGGCAGTCTGGTTTACACTAATGGATCTAACAGGAAGGAAATGCAATTTGAAAGAAGCTGATGCATATGTTCTATTGTTGAATATAATGTTTGATTTAATTATTAACTGTCTGTGATGGAAAGTCAGATCCTGCTCAGTTCTGCTTACAGTTTGGTACTCTGCTACTAGTGAAAACAGACAAGATTCAGTCTGAGGATTTAAGAGTCCTTTGTGAAATGTTGATGTTTGATTGTGCTTCTCTAAAATGTCAGCTGAGGAACCTCATTCACATGCTTCTTCCATAAAGGCTCGCTTACTTTTATCAATCCAAAGATACAATATGGAACCTGACTCTTCCTTTTTTCACTTGCGTAAATCAGGAGATTATCCAAGTTAATGAACTGCTGTAATTATTTAAATAAATACCATCTGAATTGAGTTTATATTCACTGCTGTTCCTGAAACTTTTTTTTTTTTTTTTAAATGCATTTTGTGTTGCATACATAGCACTGCAATCAATCTCCTCCTTTCTCATTTAGAAAATGCACAGTGGACCCACAGTAAGTTATAGGAAGGAGTTAAAAAGTGCTGGCTTAACTTTACCTATCCTTCTTTTATCAGAGACAGAGGATTTGGCAGCCAATTTCAATCCAATTCTATTATTGGTGTTTTGTGATTTCTAGTAAATTGTTGCATTGTGTTACAGAGGTCCTTAATTCCATGTGTGGGCGTTAACATGGTGTAAGGAGTGAATTCATTATGAAGATGTCTTACCTGAAAATCCATTATTCCTTTCCTCACCATGGTGACTCCTATCAAACTCACACATAACGTAGTCTGGAAAGAAATAGGCATTCATGCTAAACTGCTGCATTTTCAGAGGAGTTTAAAGGTAAAAATCACAGCTCTCTTGCATGATTCAGACAAAAACAGTCATTTAACACCACCAGAAAAAACAAAGTAATTGGGCAAGGTAATTTCAGTTTTGCAGTTTATATCGGTCTGGTGAGATTATTATCTCTGACACTATCTTATGCAGATGCAGGACTGGAGCTGATATTAAACAATAGTAATGATATTTGGAGTTCATCCAGTATGATCTTCATTGTTTGTGAGAGTGGCTTCCACATAGTTATTTGATCCATAATTTCTCATTTTTCATTAAACATATATTTCTACATACACTGCACGCAGCTCTGTGGGATGCATTTTCCTTTGCAAAGTCAAAAGGGATTGGTTACATTTCTCATCAGGATGAGAAATTAAGTTCCCAGAAAATACACTACCACATCTCAAACGCTTAATTGATTTAGACAGATTAAGAGAAAATAGAGACCCCCCTTCACAGTGTATTCCCATTCTTGGTGTCAATCAGCAGGCTTCAGTCGAAGAGCTGCCACTGCAGCAAAATCCATCTCAGATTAATCCGGAGAATTCTGCTTGTAATCTGTTCTCAGCTGTACGGATCTGAGAAGATTTCAGAGCTTTTTAAAAACCTCATATATTTTGAATATTTTGATTTAAAGAAGTATTTGACATCTGAGATCAAAACACACCCAAGCTGCTTTATTTCCTGACTCTCACCAACGAGGATTTCTGCTGGGTCTTTCCTGAGTCAAAAATACCACAAAACCAACATTTCTTGCCCTTCTTCAGGACACCTGCTTGCCACAAACCAACAAATGCCAGGATACGCGATTTCTTTTCAAAAGTGAATCAAGCTCAACACAGGTGTGAGCCAAGGTCAGCTCTAGCTTTGGCTAAAGCTTTCTCTTAGTTTCACCGTTACTCCCATTCCTAATTAAAAGTTTATTGAAGCACTTTGCATACTTTACTGTATTAAAGAAGCAATTATCAGAGTGAAAAGAAAAACTGTCAATTCTGAAAATAGCTCGGACTGTTCATGTGTCATTCTCAGTATATGCTGAAATAGCCAGAAAAACGTGGCTCACACTGTGGATTGCACCAGATACCCACACACATACAAGTAACCCTCCCTCCGCCTTCTCCACCCGAGGCTCATTTTTTGCAAAACACACACATAGAATTGAGCTGTGCTTTCTGCCAGTGGAGTGAACTATGATGGAGCAGAGCACAAAGGAGTCTATTTTTTCTGTGGCATACATAGGATTTTCCCACAGAGTACAGTGTGAGAATTAGGATCAGATGCTCCTTGTCACCCACACATTGCAGGCTCAGGGGGAAGCAGGCTGGTTCTTGTTCATGGATCTCATGACCACACCTCAGGTAAGGCCCCATGTAAATTGAACATTTGCAAATCAGGAGTACCAAATTTTTACCCAGCTCCTGACAGCTTATCCTCCTGTCTCAGCTGTGCCAGAACTCATCCTGCCTGAGCCGCCAGTGCTCCTATGCCATTAGAGTTGGTGCTACCAGTTCACATTCCCTTCTCCTTCTCAATGTGCAGCTCCTCACACTGTCTGTGCTTTGTCTCCATCTTGAAGTACTACCCTGTACAGCTCACACATATCCAAGAGGGAGACTGAAAAGGATGTTAGTGGCTACACACAAGGGCAATTGAAAAAGCATGCTACGGAAATCATATTCATAGGGAAAAAAAAATGAACTCACACAGGTGTTTCGCTACTTCTGCTGTGACTCCTCTAGGCATCAAAACAGGTGAGTTTGCTGCATGCTAATCAGGAAAAAAGAACATCTGAAATATGCATCTGCACATGAGCATCTGTGCAGAGTTTCTCCAAAGCAGTTCTCTAGTGCATTTCTTTTCCTATGTGGGCCTCTTTTGTACTTTTTTGTGCCAAGAGGCTTATTTTGTATAGGTGAAGAGACCCACATCCACCAGCCATCAGGGAGTGCTATTAATATGCAACATCTTGAATGCATGAACTGAATGACAAGCTGGCAGAGTTTGAGACTGTGTGGTCCAAGTTTATGTCTCTCCCTGAAGAGGTGAAAAGCCCCTTCCCCATATCTCTGCCAAATTGTGCCAGAGCTAAAAGAAAGAAGAATAGGCAACCTATTATTTATTTATTTATTTATTGCTTCTCTCTTCCTAACACCTTATTTTTCCTAGCCGCAGTCAATGTGAATTGGCCTGTTGCTACTGTTTAATTTCAAAACAGATCACAATAGCAGAGCTTGTGGTTTTGCAAACTGTGGAACAAATCAGAAATATCTGTTAAGCCCTCTCATGCATGTGCTATTTTTTTGGATGTGTGAACACTCTCCATGTTGTGTCCATAAAATACTGAGTTAAATTATGGTCTTAACTATGTAAACAGGCATGTTTACAGTTTTCTTTTAGTTGCCCAGTGTCACCATGCAAGGGTTAACTTGCCTACATTTTCAGCCTATATTATTACATGCCTGCATAGATAAAAAGGGCAATCATGGTATTCTGAGTAACTTTGTCCTATCACCAACTGCTCAACTTTGAGGCATTAAGAAAGAATTAGAGAAACAAATAGACATAAATTAAAACAATTGCTTCAGAATTCTGTGATAGAAGAGAGAGAACTCAAATGGGCTGGCATATGTCCACCTAGCCTAATGGCAACATCTAATATGTGAGTAGGACTGAAACAAGTCCTGGACAGCTTCCCTTGGTGGGGTATTCCCACTGAGTCCAAGTGGAATGGCTTTCCACCTGTGAATGGCAGTGTGGAAGGACACTCCAGCTTTGCTTTGGGATCTCACAAGCCAGGAATTCCAGACCAGCAACCTGTCAGAAACATCCTTCTTGCTGGAACATGGCCTGATCAGCACAGTCTACCCCAGCCTCCATGCAGAGGTACCAACAGAAACAGCAAACTGGCCTTTTTCAGATACCAGCTGTTAACCTGGCATCCCTGCTTCCCTCTGTGCACGCCTTTGTCATTCACTGAATCTCCGCCTGCTGAACAGCTCTTGGAATGAGTTAAAATGACTTTTGGGATGCTTTCTCTTGCCTTAAAGGACTCATCTGCTTGGTTTTTTTTTTCCCCCAGTCGCAGCAGAACATAGAAAATGATCTACCCAGAAAATATGAAAAATGGTTTCTATGTAAATTGAAGGCAATGTCAGCCAAATTAATTTGTTAACTTGATGTCTAAAAAATCATTTCATATTCCACACTTACAACTCACACTCTTTCTTATTTTCTACATAGTTGATCCTCTTTTTAACTGCTGCAACCATTTTTCACCATTCCACAAAGCAGGCTCAACTTTAAAATGATGCTTATCAATCACAAGGGAAATATCATCTTTTATTCCTTTGTATGAGACTTAAGTACTATCCCTTTCCTGAGAAAATTTCCTAGTATCTTACACAAGCAAAATTCCTTTTGATTCAGCAGTGAGGGGTCATTGGGAAGGTCAGTGCTAACAGAGAAACAAAATTACTAGTCAAAGAAACCATTTTGTGGAGCAATGTGAGAAAAACAGAAACTTAGATTTGAGTTTGGTAATGTTAAAACATATTTATGAGTACATATTTTTATAATGTTATTGAAAATATGTCTTTTTTCAAAAATCACTCATACAAATGTATTAAAATTTAAATAAGATCAAGAACCTCATAAAATAGACAATCTATTGATAGGCTTCAGCATGGGCATACAGGAGAGGGCAGCAAAAAGCCCTCACTTGTACTTGAAATTTAGGACGTATTGATTTTGAGCAGCTTGCCCACACAAACAGTGAAGATATTTTCCAGCAGAAGAGTCACCGGGGTAATTTAAACTTGGGCTGATACATCTTTGTTGTTGTGTGCATGTAACCTCCTGTGAGATCACAGACTGACGCTAGGCGCAGGCCTTCCAAAGAAGCAAAAATCAAAGCTTTGAATCATGCATTCATGGGCTTCTTGCTGAGAGAGAACTGAAATAATTTTAAATAAAATTCCTAGGTATTGAATAAACACTGTGGCAGCATGGTTAGCAGCAGCAGAAGCCAGCGGGCCCAGGGCAAGCAGCCTCTGCAGCAGCAGCAGCACCTGAAAGGCTTGTGGCTACCAGAGGGACCTGCTCTGCATGAACCCACATACTCTGCTCAGGTTGTCCTCTCGTGCCATTGCAGCAGGGAACACCTCTCCTCTGCACTTGCTGTTGGCAAGACAGCTGTGGATTTCCTTAAAATAAGAGGTCTGGAAATAGAAGGATATTGATTTAGGTCATCTTGTCAATCACAAGAAAGAACATCCCAGTAGGTATTACTTAAAGAGTATGTGTAACAGGATGCCTTTGTTTCTAGAGACCAGTGGATATAGCTATTTTTAATGCTGGTCAGATGAGCTACAATCTTCCAAAAATCTCATCTGAGACAAAATATTTTGCAGGATTTAAGCAAGACCAAGCAAAATAAGTCTTTGGCTGGGCCAAAATAAATTGGTTTCACCAACAGCTTCACTGGCACCTTGTGTGGCAGCAGCAGCTGGAGGGAATGCTGAGCAAGGCACTGCCCAGCTGGGCTGAGCTCGCAGAGCACCTGGGCTCACAGCCCTCCCACACTGCTGTTGGCACCTGTATTGACCAGGTTCCCGACTATGATAACATGGCAAGATAGTTGCTTTTTCTGAAATGCTACTCAAAGAATCACAGAATCATTAAAGTTGGAGAGACACTAAGATCCCCTAGTCCAGCCATCAGCTCATCACCACTTCACCGCTAACCATGGCTCTCTGTGCCTCATCTTTGCCTTAAAAACCTCCAGGGAAGCCTGTTCCCACAGTCCACCACTATTTCTGAGAAGAAATTTTTCCTACCATCCAATGTAGGATGTGAATGTGAAACCTCCCCTTAAATGTGCAACTTAAAGCCATTACCTCTTGTTACTGACACAGGTCAGCAGCCTACCACCATGTGGATCATGCTACAT